TTTTTTTTTTTTTCCTTTTTTTAATAAGAGCAAGGTTGCTTCTTAATAAACGATAAGGCAATGAACAAGTACTTCATTTAAAAATTATTGAATCGTTTTAAGATTTAAATTGATTGGGGATCAATGGATCGAAGAGTTTGATCGACTTCCTTCCAACTTCCTTCTTAAAATTGGAAGAAGAAAAAGCGAAGGATAGGAGAGGCATAACGTTCGTGATCGATGTCCGTATAATAATCCTGACTATAAATTTCCCTCTCGTTGACGTCATTCCGTGAACTATATCGGGACGAAGGCTCGATCGTGCGAGAGGCACCCAAAGGACTATCGCTATGAGAAAAGATGTAAATAAAGAAATTGTACGTTTAGATACGCGGAGAAATAAAATAATACGAATAAGAGACAAAGATCGAGATGTGTAATGCGTGTCGAATGCGAGTTAAGAATTTAAAGATTCTTAAGACGATAAATCCTTAAAGGGCGCATCGGTTTAAACGTGCATCGATTAATGAACATCTTCCTTGTAACAAATGAGCGCTTAATGCGCACCTGTCAGGTGGTTGAAAATTGCAACATCGCTTTCCATGCGATTCACGTACGTGGCGCAAAGAAAAGATTACGAGCCAATCGGGAAGCGCGATCCTTCCTCGAAACGTTTCTCGAAATTTCTTTTTTTTTTTTCAAAATTTTCTTCGAATTTTTTGACCCCCCCCCCCCTCCCCCTCCTATACTTTATGATCGTTCGGATTAAATTGGATCTTTGTTCATCGCATAAAATAATGAAATTTTACGTTTTTTTAGGAAAATTTTTTTTCAGGAAAATAGAAAAACAATCAAATATGACTAATGCCGAATCGAATATAGAAGCTAACCAGGAAAATAATAGCAAGATTCATTTACAATTAATATCAAGTTTTATAGGTATGAATCTTTTTTTTGTTTGTTTGTTTGTTTGTTTGTTTTTATTATGAAACGAGATTGAAAAAAAATTCGTCGATTTTGGCAATAAAGAAATTTTAAATGCAAATCTTCTTCTTATTAACTCTGCAATAGCACACCGGGATCTTTCATTATCTAAATAGGATATTTGTAATTTTGGAAAGCGTGATTATATGGCTTAAAATGTAAGAATTTGAAAGCATATTATTGATTTTTTTCAAAATTTTTTGTGCAAAGAACAAAACTAAAAAATTCCAATGTGCCCTTCGAGCAGAGCTGAAGGAAATGTGAAATAAATTAAAATAGATATTAAAAAAACTTAAAATATTCCTACGTTTTTTATATGCAATAATAATGTTAAAGTTAGTAATGTTTAAAATTTTATTATTTAGAATACTATTTCTCTATGTGAAAAAAAGAAAAATTTATTCGTAAAATCATCATCATTATCATTGAAAGGAATAAAAACGTATCTATCCATTTTTTTGAGTTCAATTAAATGAAAAAAAGTTTAATCACACTCTTGATAATGCGATGCTTTCGAATATCAATTTGAGAAATATTTTAATTACATCTCTTATTCTTATTCCAGTTAGTCTAGCATTATTCTCCGCCGGAATTTCCGCCGGTTGGCCAACGATCGCTGTTCCAAAGTTGGAAAATGAAAGCACATCTTCCAATTTTCATATAAGTCAAAATGATGGAATTTTGATAATTAACGCGATACCGGTAGGCGCCATTGTTGGATCAATTTTATCCGGTTTATTACTGAACGTTATCGGCAGAAAATGGTTCCTCTACGCGACCAGCGTACCATTCATAATCTGTTGGTTGCTCACCTGTTTCGCGAATTCTTGGATTGAAATTTTAGCAGCGAGACTGATATCTGGTATATCGGTCGGTGCCTTGTATTCCATGGCCCCATTGTATATAGGAGAATTGGTAGAGCCAAGAATCAGAGGAGCGAGTAACACTATGTTATCATTCATGTTTAATCTTGGATGCATCTTCATATTCGGTCTTCAACCAGTTTTAAAGAGAGAGGTAAGAATTATTTATTTTTTAAAATTTTTCATCGAAATCGGAATGATACGTTTAAAATATTGAAATCGTAACGATTGTTGTGTGTATTATTGTATATTTATACGATAAAATGTCTCTGAGAACAAGCAAGCGATATCAATTTTCTGAAAAAGAAAAAAAAAAAAAAAACGAAACTGATATATGTTTTCGCTTGTCAACTCGCGACTTTGTGCAAATTTATCTACTATGCATTATACATTCACGATAAATTTAAGATGACGTAATGTTTAAATAGTTTTGTTTGTACATGAAAATATGCAAAAATATGTAATCGTTAACGATACTGTATTTTTTTCCAGATTCTGTCATTTATCAATTTAATACCGATAGCCGTATTTCTCTTAACTATGCCATGGTTACCAGAATCGCCTTATTATTATTACAAGAAAAACGACAATAAATCCGCAGCGCTAACTTTGGTATGGCTAAGACGCAGGGAGGACAATAAGGAAGAGTTAAATAAGATAAAAAATATGATAGAAATGGAAAATGTAAACGGCTTCAAAAAAACACCATACGGGAAAGCACTGACACTTCTATTGCTGCTGATGGCGGCTCAACAATTGTCAGGATTCGCAGCCATTTTATTCAACAGCGGCGATTTGATTAAAAAATTCAATGTACAATTCGAACAGGATTATCTTCTTCTTATAATAAGCGCGATGTTTTTAGTTGCCAACTTATTATCCGCGTTTACCGTCGACAAAATCGGCAGAAAATCTGTTTTCCTAATATCGATGTACGGCACTGTTGTATGCCTTCTCGTGATTGGTGCCTATTTCTTTGTCGAACATATAGGGATAAAAGTCAGCAGTTATTCCATGATCCCATTGGTCTTTCTTGCGATTTACTTTCTTACTTTCTCGTATGGTTTAACCTCAATCCCGTATGTAGTCTCTTCGGAAATTTTCCCGACAAACATAAAAAATTGGGCAACCATGTTGTCCAACATTTTTGGATTCGTATTGTTCATAATCGTGTATAACGTTTATCGGCTTCTGAGCGACAAATATGGATACGTAATATTTCTTATCTTTGGCGTTATCGAATTTATAATCGGTATCATCTTGAACATAGCATTACCGGAAACGTCGTGCAAATCTTTTAACGAGATTCAGGAAATATTGAAAGGACACAAGAAGAAATAAAGGAAAGACAATAAATGATTTGCATTCTATTTATTCAATTTTCATCTATGGTTCTCTTTAAATCTCTGTTTCAAATTGTTGAATTGCCTAGAGAAGAACTTTCGAGAAGATAAGTATTTCGAATGTATTCGTGTATGTGAATTTGATCAAAAACGAATTTCATGAAATGTTAATACAAAACAAAAATAAAAATGGAAGATAGAAAAAATTTTTAAAAGTTATTCACACATTTATTGTAATTATATATTTTGTGTGGCTTACCAAAATATTACATTAAAAATGTAATGCTTATTACGTATGCTTATTATGCATTCGTTTACGTTCTCTTGGTGTCATCTTTATCACTTTTTTGATTGCATCTTTGATATGAAAAAATTTTATCTTACAATTGGATTGATAGATAATAAAGGAAGAATAAAAATAATATGAAAATTATTAAATATATAAAAGTATATTTATACCTTCCAAAGAAATTTGTTGTATCGTTTTCATGACATAATCATCATTATTATCAGATTCATATCTCGTCTAAGAGAAAAAAAATTCACGCTAATACGTCTTTTTCGGATATTGTACTTGCATAAAATATACATAAAATAGTAAAATATCATTTATGTAATAAATAAATAGGGAAATATAAAAAAAAAATTTATTTTATCTCTTGAATAATTTCCATAGAAGAAAATCTGAATCTAAAAGCAGTTGCTTTTATTTATTAATAATTATGAAATGATTCTCAATTGGCTCATATATATTTTTTTTTTGTTTTGCTAGTTATTTTTTTTAACGATAATTAGAATAGAATAAAATTAAATCATTTAGTAAAATAAGATAAAATTTGTAATGTTGAATTTTAATAAAAGAAATTCAGATTAAAAAAATTTAAATGTTAAGTTCTATCTAAATCATTATCGTAATTAAAAATGGCATAAAATGGCTTAAAATATTTGTTGTGTTACTTATTCATTCATATGTGTCAAACTTACCTCTTTCTTCGATAATTTTTTTTTTAATTGTTTCCTACGACTTTTTTTGTCGTTTATAGAATATCTTTCATCTTTTAGTACATTATGGTAATTAAAATTAATTATATCTGATTCCAATGATATCCATAAATCTCTCTTATCATTCCAATATTCTTTTCTATCTTCCCAATAACTTAATGGATGGCCGTAAAAAATTTGTGACATTGGATCAATTTCACCCTTAAAACACTATTCAAAGTTCACCCTTAATTTTACAATATGACAAATAAGATAAGATGATACAATAATATAATAAGATCTTTCAAAAAAAGAGTATACATACTTCAAAAGAGTATACATACTTTTTTGGATGTATGTGCATTTTGCATTTCAAGTATCTTTTTAGTATTTCTGTTTATAAATTTTATCATCAAACTACATACATCGTTATAACATATTTTTTGTGCTATAATGTAATCTTTTGTCATCATGTGTGGTAATTCTTGTATTAACATATCTAATAGATCTGATGTAAAATTCTGTAAATTTAATTAATTTAATTTTTTTATCGCGTTTATACATAAAAATTAACAAACTTCGAAATCAAAAACTGTTAATCCCATATCTTTATGAACCATAGCAATGTAGCCGAGAAAATCATTTTTCATTGATGTATTGTCATAATTTAAAAATAAAGCACACAACATTTCGCATATATTCCTAAATTTTTTTTTAAGTTTTGCTTCTTGAACGAAATATGGAAGTGATGTATCTTCGAAATATTTCACGTATTCTGGATGAGTTTTAAAAATCCTGCGAGTTTAACTTATATAAAATGAATTGATAAATATATAATTATATTTTCAAAAATTATTAGAACATTATAATTACATAGTGCATAGTGCAAATCCATAATACATGCTATCCCTCTCTACAATCGACCAAATTTCTTTCATTTTTTTGATATCTAGTGTAAAAATACTTTTGACATACTTTTCTTCCTGCCATTCTTGTTTCTTTTTATAGAGATACGGGAATGGATAAGTAACTAAATTTCCCATTTTTTAAATTTTTAAATACTTGAAATATTTTGATATTTTGTGACATATGTGATATTTATACAACTGAATATCACTTTTAACCTGTTACAAACTTTGGATTCATTTTTATCATAATTTCGTTCTCTTCGAATCTTTTTAAAAGATTCCTTAACTTTCAAAAAAATAAAAAAAGCGGTTGTAATATGCATATTTTTTTATTTTAATTATATGCTAAAATTTCCTTTTTGTCAAAACTTAAAAATTCTTATAAACAAAAGAAAATCAATAAATCAAATGAAACATATTCTATTTAATTAATTTGGCAATAAAGATAAAATATTATCAGTAAATTTTAATAACTAATTTAATATAATTTAATATAATTAAATTTTAATATAATATATAATAAATTATACGACATTTAACAATTTCATTATGTTAACTTTAAGAAAAATTTATTTCATGAATAAACTTTTATTTATTTACAAAGAAATAAATATAAAATACAATCTTAGACCATAACTTTTCCTAATGTATTAGCATACTGAAATTCTGAACTATTTTCATACTCGCACATATCCAATGCAATTACACAACTTTCCCTTACAACTCTCTTATTATCACTTAAATATTTGTTTAAAATATCAAAACAATCTTGAGTAGCAATGGAACCTAATGCTTCTGCACATTCGTGACGCACCATTTCATTTTCTTCTGTATTTTTTAAAGATGCTTCTAAATATGGGATAGCTATCTCTTTTTGAAGTTGTCCAAGAACAAAAGCTATCTCATGTTTGAACAAAGCACTTCCTACTTTTAGACCTATTTTTGCAAATAAATTTTTACATTTTTAAAATTATAAATTACATTACAAATTATAAATACAATTACATAAAATAGAAAATAAATAAATAATTATTATAGAAAGCATTATTATAAAGAATAATGAATCATTATTTTACCTTCACTAAGAACAAGAATACTTTCTGGAGTATTTATATTTCTCAAGGAGAACATGGCTCTATATCTTTCAAACAAAGAAATATTTTCATCTAAAAGAATTTCTTTTAATTTTTTAATATCGGTAATATTTGTTGGTGGTGCTGGATCCACTGACATATAAGGACTTTTTTGTAAATTAATTGAATTATTATTTGATTTTAACCACTCTATACGAGATAATGCCAATTGACATGTTTCTGCAACTTCTAGAACACGATCTTTGCTATATTCTTCCAATATAGGTATTACAATTGAATCTCCAATTGCACCTAAAGCTTCACCTATTACAAAAAAGTATATTTTTAAAAATATAAACAAAAATAAAAATAAAAAGTAAAAATAAAAACATGATATTTAATCTAATATATGATAAAAACCTGCTTCATGACGAACCATTGGTTCTTGTGTAGTATCTTTTAATATTTCAATAAGAACTGGTATAGCACGGGAATCTTGCATTTGACCAAGACAATATGCAAGTTCATGTTTTAATAGAGCTGATTCATCTTTAAAACAATTATGAATTTGTTGAATAGCTTCTACTCCACCAATATTTTTTAAGGTAAATAAAGCACGAAATCTTTCTTTTAGTGGTCGATTTTGATCGTTTAAGACATGGCCAATTGCAGAAATTTGATTCTTATTTACTTCTAACATATTTTTTAAATCAAATCAATTAAGTATATGAATTTATTAGAATTTATTAGTATTTTGTAAAACTTATTTCACTATTTAATATATACGATGTCACTTTTTATAATAATTTTTATTATAACACATGAAATTATATACTACCACTTTTGAGGTTAAGTATAAAAATGAATATATCAAATAGTCAACATTTCTGAAAAAAGATAACACAAAACCGTAAGGCTTATACTTATATGCGCATTAATTATTATATATATATATATATGTTCATAATAAGTAAAAACTTATATACATAAAATTAATTTATAAATTACAATTCTATTTTTAAAATATGGCGCAAAGTAAAACAGAAAAAATTGGAACAATTTTTACAAGGTAAAATTTCTTTTAATTTTAAAAATTTAAATCATTATAAAATAGGTTAAAATTTATATTCTTAAATTATTGATAGATAATTTATTATTATATTATAATGAATTATCTATTAATAATATTATATTATTATATAATTATATAATTATACTATATATAAATATGGTTATATTAATTATATTATTATATATAATAATTAATACATTACATAATTATTATTATATATAATAATATAATTATATATTTATATAAAACAATTAAAATAAAAAATTAATTAAAGAATGAAAATGTATTTTATTAAAAATTGTACAAAATCAAAATCTCATTATTTAAAATATAATTAAATTTAAATTTAATTATTTTACAATTCTGAAAAAATAAATTCATTTTAATCAATTATTATTATTATTAAATTATATTAAACTATTGCAAAATAATTTTTAAATAATATATTTTTATATTAATTTTAGAATAACAGCATTAGTACGCTCAGAAGCATTACATCCAAATAATTTGCCATTATGGTATAACATATATAAAAGCTTTCCTCCAAAAGATGAACCACTTTTTGCTAGAAAACCATCACAGAAAAAAATACAAGATATATTTTATGCTGAAGATATTATAAGAGCGTAAATAAAAATTTCAATTTTCATACAAATAATTCATATAAATATATTTATTATTAATAAACATAATTTATATTTATATTTCAAATATATATTTTTATAGAAAATTTCACAAAGATATGGAACTTCCTATAATAGATATGAAATCTGATAATGTTACGCAAACTCAAATATTTTTATCTTTATATAAAAATTTTTTACAGGTAATATGAGATACAAATTTTTAATATTTTTTCAATATTATTATATTTATTATTATTTTTATTATTATTATATTTATTATTATTATTTTTATAATTATATAACAATTAATTTTACATAAAAAATCAGAAAAAACTATAATATTTTTTTTAAATAGGATAATATTAAAGAAGAAGAAGCATATGAAAAGGCATTGCAAAATTATAAAGAAACTTATAATGCTAAAACAATACCTAAATCATAGATATCACATGAAGACACTAAAGATAACAAAGAACAACAAGAAATAGAATTTTGAATTAGAATACATATTTATAATACATATTTATAATAACATATTGTAAAAATAAAGAGAAAATTAATCATATGGAATATATATTTATTCTTCATTGTTTTTTTTTGTAAATATTGTTGTAGATAATAAAATTATTTTATTATTATTTTAATTATATATAACATATTTAATATATAACATATATAATATATAACATATTTAATATATAATAAATTATTACATAATAAATTAATAAAAATGTTTAATTTTTATCATTTTATTCTTCATTTTATTCTTTTTCAAAAAAAAACAAATTAAATTAAATTAAATTAAATGCAAAATTTAATTTAATATTAAAAATATTAATAATATGATAAATAATAAAGGATAAATCAAATAAAAATAGAAAAAAATTGGATAATTATAAAATTTTCTATAATTTTTCGTGAGATAGAATATGGTATATAGGTTCGGAAACTACCCTTAATAAGCAAGTTCTATTTAGTCTTCTTTTAATAGCATAACCTACCAAGTATTTTTCAAATTAAGGCATTCAAATTTATATTATAGTATTATGTTATAATATATTTTTTATTGATAAGTTGATTTTTATTTAAGTAAAAAAATAAAAATCAGTTTTAAATTGCATAATATAAAGATTATATAAAACTATTATTAATAATTTTTCAAAAGGAAAATTAAATTTCTAATAAATTAATTATTAAATAGATTAAAATGTCTATAAGAAAAACTTTTTCATTAGTTTTTATTAGAAAATCAACAGAAATTTTATTGGGTTTAAAAAAACGAGGATTCGGAAAAGATAAATGGAATGGTTTTGGCGGCAAAATAGAACCAGGAGAATCAATTTTACACGGAGCTATGCGGTAAATAATTTTAAAAAATTTACAAAAAATATTTTATCTGTAACAATAAAAAAAATATAAATTAAAATATGTGAACTTTTTAATAACGTAAACATTTTAAATAGAAAATATGTTCTATATGTAATAAGTTAAGAATCTTATATTCAACAATATTTTATATTTCATAATAACCAATACATTAATAACAACGAATTTCAACAAAGATTTTTATCATACTATTTAACAATATATAAGATGATTCATGAAAAATGTAATTAAAGCTGAAAAAAATATTAGTTAAATACTATATTATTATATTAAATACCATATATAAAAGCATTTTTATTAAAATAATAAAAGTAATATATATACTAGATATATATATGATTTTTTACTTAAAATTTTTTTAATAATATAATACTACATTATTACTATATATAGTAATTAAATTATCTTCTTAATTTTATTTAAATCTATATTTTATCATTTAAAAGAAATTTTTAAATTTTTTATGAATCATCTTGTATATACAGGTACAGTTTTAAAAAATTAAATAAATATAAAATATTTTATATATATATATATATATATATATGTTTAAATTAAAATTATATGTGATTAGTAAAAATAGTATAAAAAATATTTAAGCTAAAAGTATAATGTATGCTGTATAATATAAATATTACGTATATTATTTCTATTATACATTATATTATATTGAAATATTTCTATCACAAATAGATAGGAATTAAAGTAAATTTCAAATCATCAGTGCATAATTTTATAGTGAATTAAAAGAAGAATGTGGTTTATCTGCACAAGAACTAAGAAAAATTGGAATTCTAGAATTTGAATTTGAAGAAAATGAAGTTCTATTAGAAGTTCATGTTTTTGAAACATATAAATATTATGGAAAGATAATAGAATCTGAAGGTATTTAAATTTTGAACAATAATTTTTTTAAACAATATTATTATAATATTAATATTATAATGAAATATTTATTCTAATTAATAATAGTAATTATATATATTTTATGTGCAATTATTATTCAATGATTCTATATTTGTTTATTTTAATTATGTTGCAATTTTTATTTAATTAATTATTTAATTATTTAATTAAGCATAAAATTGCATATGATATATGCTTAAATTAAACAAATTGTGGAGATCAATTAAAAAGACAGAAAAAAAACAGAAAATACATTTGAGCAAAATGAAAAATTTTAAAATATATATATTACATGTAATATAATCTAATATATATTTTTTTAAAAATATAATAAATACATTGTAATTATATTTATATTTTTTTGTTCAGAAATGCGACCAAAATGGTATAATTTGAAAGATATTCCTTTTAAAGAAATGTGGCCGGATGATGAATATTGGTTTCCTTATATGTTACGAGGGCAATTTTTTAAGGGATATTTTTTATACAGAGGTGAAGATCTAATTCTGAAATATAACATTGAAACTATGGAAGAACTACCAACTTTAGATCATATTTCTTAATATTCTCATTCATAATTTTCATACATTCCTCTTTTTTTTACATATTAATAATCATAATTATTATTAAAAAATTCACTTTCACTTTTATTTTTATAATTATAATAAAATTTGGCTTTACATTTGATAACTTTTTTAATGGTAAAACCATTATCATCTTGGAATCATTATTTGTTATCACTTATTAATCTTAGATTATATCGAAAGGAATTTTAAGCAAATATTGTACAAATATATTACATTGATACTACATTAATTATACCTATCTGTAATTTTTAATCAAGTAAAAGCATACACAATAAATTATCTCAAATAAAATATATAAATATTTGATAATGATATTATCATATAGTGATATTTCAGAGATCATTAAATAAATTTTTCTGTATTGCAAAGCTAATAATAAGTTTTTCTAATTTTTTTTTATCAAATAAATATATAACTATTTTAAAAATCTAAGTACTTATGATAAGTTATAAAACTATACTGTGATACCTCACATGAAGATAAAAATATTTTGCTTAAATTATATTATCATTTCATAAATAAAAATTTTGCAAAGAATATATCAATCAAGCACCATATAGCTTGGATAGAATAAAGAATAAATATTTTTGTCTTCAGTTCAAAAGATATAAGATGAGGCAAGATTAAAAGCTTAAAATCTACAATCTAAAATATGGACGTATAGAATTGTCAACCACACACAATTGTATCACTTTTTGCACCACAAAGTACTCGCTTGACTTTACTTTATCTTTACTTTATATATTTACTATATAATTAAATTATGATTAAGCAGCTGACCAATGTTCAGATCTCCATAAGAGAGCATACATACTATGCTTAAGATCTTCTGCGTCTAAACTATCAATCAAAAAATCTGTATATCGCGAAATTAAACTTCGGTAACCCTGACCAACAGTTGCCAATACTAATTTCTTTTCATCTGTTGATTTAAATGATATTATTTGACATACCTTACCTTCAAAAGGTCTGAAAACGGTAATAGGTCTAAGTGAATTACATTCAGCTACTACAATACATCCCCAAGTAGTACCAATATACAACTGATTCCTACAAGTTTCTAGAGCTGTTACTTGGCACTTTTCTGTTGATAAATTTTCTTCTATAGAAATGGATTTTAAACTCTCTGAACAAGGTACTAATTTAGACATATCTAATTTATTTATTATTTGTCTAGTATCCACATCCCATTGATACACAATACATCCAGGATACGTATATGATAATACAGAATTTTCTGCACTCAATAAATGTGTAGCAAATAAATTTTTAATAGCTGCTTCTCCAGTTACATGAGAAACTTGTGCTGCATCTATTAAATTATTATCTCTTAAAACATAAATTGATACTTTACCAAAACTTTGTCCAATCCATAATTCCAATATGCGTTTTTTTTTATAAACAGCTGCTAAAGAATATGTCTTTACATTGTCTTGAATATCAGTCGTAATTTCCATTTTTTTCATTTGTGTAAATGAATTTGATAATAAAAATGTTTTTCCACTATGCAATGCTACTGCAAAATGTTTTATTTGTTCTAAATAAATTAAACCTACTATTTTAGATTCTATACTATGATCAGGTTCAAGATTATAACTAGCAACACAACCAAAATTACTGCCTAAATAAACATGTATTTGTCCTATATCATCACCAATCCATATATATCCATCTACTCCACACATTGCATATGGTATTACAGGAGTTTCAATCCTAACATGTTGTAACCAACCTTTCTGTGTTCCTAATAACATATCAACTTCACCATTATTATGTCCAAACCAAATTTCATCTCCACTTAAATTTTCTTCTATAGTTCTATTTGTCATAGTAATAGCAGTTACTTGAGTTCTTTCTGTTAATAATATAACATCTATAAGATGTGTAAATTCAGGTGCTGATGCAATAGAAACTATTTGACTTGCAGTAGGTCGATCTTTTGGATTTTGAGCCCAACATATAACCATTAAATCAAGAGCATAACAAGGATGAAATGTTTCTCTATATGTTAATGGTGGTCTTCCACCTTCCAAAATACATTCTTTAACTGCTTCATGACCCTCAAATGGTTGTCTTAAAGTAATTAATTCATATATAAACATTCCAAATGAAAAAGAATCAACTTTTTCAGTATATTCTTCTTCACCATTATATTTAATAATTTCAGGTGCCATAAATCCTTCAGTTCCACCAAATCCTTTAGCACCAGTTGGTAATGTAAGTCTGGATATACCATAATCAGCAACCTTAACATGAACAGGATGTTCAGGATAATCTTGAAATGGTAAAGGCATCTGCCAAACTAAAACATTTTCTGATTTTAAATCTCTATAAATTACATGTTGTTGATGAAGATATTCTACAGCTTTTGCTACTTGAAGAATTATAGCTTGTAATGTATATGGATCTAATTTAGCACCAGAACGTCTATAATTTTTCAATACATTATCCAATGCACCTTCTGGTGCTAAATCTAGTACTAGTGCTAATGGACTAACTACTATTCCAATTAAAGGTACAATATTTGTATGTCTAAGAGTCAACAAAATGTTTAATTCTTGTCTTGCTGTACAGTAAGCTTTACAAGCATACTGTAATGGATCTCTATCCCATTTACTTTGAGCTGCTTTATAAGCAAGAACAGCAGATTGTTTTGAATTTGGACCTGGTGGAACTGGTTGTAACATTTTGATGGCAACATCGATTTTTTGATAAGTTCCTGGTAATCGACAAACACCTTTAAATACAAATCCAAATGCTCCTCGACCTAATAACTTTCCCAATTTAATATCTTCTGATTTTATTAAATGCTTCGATCCGAGATCCATAAAAATTATATCGGGAGCTACATGTGATAATGGTATATCAGAATGTTTAGGACAACTTATTGGTTTATTACTATAAGCAGATAAAATACATTCTTCGACCATCCAAGAATATGCTAAAATACCTTCAGAATGGCTATTTTGTTTAATAATATCTGGATGACCTTCTAAAGATGGCATTCTACTTGATGTTAAGCTATCATATCCCACACCACTATCACCATCAGACTTATAACTATCTTGACTTTGTCTTTCTTTATTTATATAATATTTTTGGATATCTTCCGTTAAACGATCATTATCGCTAATTTCATTTTCATTTTCTCCGTTATTTAATAGACAGCGTGGACATGGTATCAATCGTGTAACTAATAGTTTACCTTCAGATGTATGCACAAAACGTGTTCCTAATGTAGGATACCAATCTTCTAATAAAATATCGATATGATCAACTATTAAGGCCAATAATTGTGGCATACTTTCTGGTCGAGGTTCTACTACAATTGCTTGATAGCCCATTGGTTCCTCTTCAGCTGAATCCGACATTATAGGTTGTTTTATCACCAAAGTATCAACTGGAAACCAAATTTCTAAAATTGCAGAATTTTTTAAATCTACTGTACACCATATTCCATCCTGTTTCAATTTAAATTTAAATTGTCTATAGTCATATGGTGAATTCTTTAAATTATAATTGACTTCTTTAAGACGCAGTAAAGTGATATTAGAATATTTTAACTCTATTCCTGTTTGCCAAAGTATCCACTCTGCTTGTGTATCTAACAAACTTGTAAAAATATTATCATCAACAAAATCTTTGAAAGGCGCTAAAAATGACATCACAATTTCAACAATAGCATCATCGGCTAAAATTCTAGTTATGAGCCTTGACCAAAAGCCACTGGGAAAATAAGACATTAAAAGTAATCGCGTAACAGAACAATCTGGTTGTGATCTAGATGTCAATACACATTCTGTATTCAATTTATCTCCAGAAGAATTTTGAAATGTTATCATTGGAGATGTAATTTTTTTAGAACGTATATGCCAACCTCGTGTTTTTACAGGAATTTTGATTATTTGATTATTTCTTAAAATATCCTCTTCAGTTGGCAACAAAGAGGGAATTAATAAAGTACGATAGTCCCAAGTTAATGCAACTTCGAACTTATTTAATAAGTTAACGATATATCCTTGCGTATCTATAGATGATATAGTAGAAGATTTAAATACATGTTGAATATCGTCTAATTTCATTATACCACATCTGGCAAAAGGATTAATTTCACGTATTGTTACTACATGTGCTAACATATCGCAAAGCCATTGTGGATCGAGAAAATATAAATCTTTCAAAGTAGCATCGTCATAATGTAAAATAATGCCATTTTCATGAAGAAAAAGTGTCGCTTGATGTAATTCAGCAGGATCTCTAAATGATCTATGCAATTTTTGAAGCTCGTTATTTACTGCCGTATAATACTGATCAGCTTTCAAAACCGGATCCGTACCTGATAATTTCCTATCATGTGCAAGCTGTATTACCACGTCTTCCAAGGCAAGATAACTGGCAGGAACTTTTTGTTCGAGCAATAATTCTTTGCTTCCAGGTGATCTTAAACTAAATACAACATCATATATTAAATTACACAGCATTTTTATATTATGCTTCGTTTTACAGCTCACTTCGATAGTCTCCATCACTTTTGGCAAACCACATTTTTCAGCATCAACTACATTTATAAATTTATCACGGATATATTGCTGTAAAGCCTCGCTATGTTCGTATGATATATCATAATGAGTGCCAACGATAATTACAGGTGAATTAGGAGCTCTGCTTTGGATATTTACCAACCACTGAAATATTTCTGATACACCTTTAAAACCATCTGTAATTCTCCATACAACTAAATATAAACTCCGCTTAGACAAAAAATATTGATGCGTTGCATAATATTCTCTTTGCCCACCAAAATCCCACGTTCTAAAATAAACTGGACCATGAGATGATTGTCCTCTCACTTTTTTCTCGTAAATCCAATCCCCAATATCAACACCTACAGTGGATATTATTGTTCCTCTGGCAGTCTTTGCATTAATGTTTTTATTGCCCATTCTTTTCGCCCAATGTTCTGTAGCTTTTTTTTTATTTGGAACTTCACCTTCTTGTCTCAATTGTTCTAATAAACTAGTCTTACCGATACCTTGAATCCCTACGATCATTAATTTCATACGTGCATATGATTTAGCATCCTCTAAGATTGATTTTAAATATCCAATCACGTCCATCGTTTTATATTTTTTCGATTCAATCATGGTTTTCAAAGGTTCTTGCAATTTACAACCTTGAGTATTTAAATTCCACAAACGAGAAAGTAATCCCATTTGTGGTGGCAATTCGACAATGTCCGGATTACCGCTTATATTTAAAACAGATAGATTAT